AGTAAAATACTGTATATTCCCTCTTCTAAAATATATCACAAATGCAATGTATAGGTCTTGCGTGGTATGTCTGTTGGTATGGTATCCCTTACACAAGAACGTAATTTAACACTGGAAAAGAAGGATACATGTATATAATGCACATACAAAATGTTTTATATACATATATATCAATAGAAAGTATTACCTTACAAATGCATGTCACAGTGACATTAATGTGCATCAGTACAATTTGCACTATGATACCAAAGGCTTCTTGTTAAGTGTCTAAACTACATTCAAACTTTATAAAATACAAAGACTCAGATGCAGCTGTTACAGCTCTCTAATCTATTTCAAATTCTATGTGGTCTGTTTGGCCCAAAATTTGCATTTTTCTGTGGCTAAGTCTGATAACAATTCAAACAACACAGATCAAAAATTTACATGCACAAAGAGTGTTATGTAATATAGGTTATCCATCTATCAAAAAAATTACACAAGGGTATTATTACATGTATGAAACACACAATGTAAATGATATACTTCATACCTATGCATTGTAATCCTGCATTTTGCTGATATTTTTTTTTCTTTTTTCTTCATTTTATTACTTATATAACACAGCTTATTTTCTCAAGTTTGAATTGGGAACATTCTAAGACCGCGAGATGAACATCTATATGTATATGTATTAATAATAATCATCAAAAAAGGAAAAGAAAAAAATCTAAGACTTTGTATAAAGATGTACAAGCAACATCCTTCTGTAACCTCTGTCTTCTTAATCTAATAATAATAATAATAATATAAATAATAATCCTACAATAATTACAAAATGACCTGACTCATATTGCCGAATCATGGAGAAATATATACATGGGAACAAGGATCCGAATGTATCATTTTGGCTTTAAGTGTCAGAACTTTAAAGAAAGAATGAAAAAAGAGAATAATAAATAATAATAATAATGGTTATCATCTAAATCAGACACAGATGCAGATTGTCAAATTGCCTTAAATTGTAGTAACTACATCACACTCTCACATTTCAAAGAGGAGTTAATATATCTTATGGATTACCTGAAGCAGATAATACCTAGAGTAAGTTGAGCTACCCCCATACTATACAAGACATCCAAACTACACGTTACCACACTCAAATCAAAACGAAAAAAATCTATAAGAATTCTTATCAACATCATTATATTCATCCCTTTCACGTCATAAGGCCCCTTCATAGTTGTGGTGAAGAGGAACGCAATATTACATCAAACAAAATTCAAAATACTTTCCTGAAAGAGACCAGAATCTGTTTTTGTTTCTATCTGGTATATCTGTTCTCTTACACACAGCTATATCTCAACAGAAATGTTAAATAAAATTGATAAAAAACATTATTTTTATCATCAAACAGAACTTACAATATCACTCCACTCTTCAAAAGGTCTCCACAGCTCTTTGTAATAAAGGCTCGGTTCTTTGTTATAACTTAATGTGTCAGATGATTGACTGGGTTAGTTATTTCTTTAAGTTAGTTGTTAGTGATTCCTGCTTCATAACGACTAGACCATATATTTGTTAAGAGAGCAACACCACCACACTTCTACTAGTTAATTTTAGTGAAAGAAATTCATACCACTTGACTTGTTAGTACTGCCAAAATGTTATTTTTCTTATTCTTATTGTTTGACTAGTGACCTTAAAATAAATTTTGATTGCCATTCAACAACCTCAATGTCCAGACTAGCAACAAAATTAATGAATGCAATATTTTTTTTACTGTAACATATCTGTTTTCAATCTGAATTCCTGTACGTCATGGATAAAAAAATTTGCAATTCAAAAGCAGACTAAAAATATTCTGCAGACAGCATATATTCCATCAATGGTCATGTCCTTCTGGATATGGTGAAATCTTATCCCTTTTATGGCCACAAATCAAGAGGAACATATCAAGATATGAAAAATAAATAGTATTCATGCATTAAATATATCATTAAGTACAGTATTTCTTAAACATCCTAATTTGGGCTATACATAAAAAACCTCATTATAGAAAATTGATGAACCATATATTATTTCCTGTGCACATAGAGAAAATATATTTTCCATAAAACTATGAAAATGTGCATACAAGTTAAACTTTCTAGCTCTTTTACAGAAAGTTGCAGACTCTGACCAATAATGGATACATAACTGTGCAGAAAAAGACTAATGGCTAATATTTAGATCTTATTATATGAATTTCCGTTCTCAAAATGCAGGTCTGGCTAATACCGTCTTCACAAATGCACACACAGATTTAAAGAAAGAATTAAGCACATTTAGGATGCAATGATGCAGTGAACCAAACTCTTATATTTTCTTTCTCTGAGAAGCAATTACAAACACATGACTTTCTTTGGTACTGAACTCATGCAATGGGAAAACTTGGTATCTTCTACTCCGGGTGCATAGACTCCTTGCAATGCTTAAGCAAAAACTGACTAAAACCAAACTTTAAAGATGATGTAGGACTAGGTTTAAATGTCTTTAAAATGCTACTCAAGCATAAAAGAAAAAAATTATAAAATAAATAACAAGCTTTGAAATCAGTCAAGAAGAGTCAACACAAAACAACTTTCAAAAGCTTTATGACTGAAGAAATGTCTTACCAGGCAGCAAGAACCACATATTGTTTTAACAATTTCCTATTAGACACTTTGGTTCGTATGTGAGCATAAGCTACTCTCTTTTTGTATGCATAATCTGAATGTCGCTCTGCTTAATCAGCCTACAAATAGGTCCCTTCGCTTAAAAGTTTAACAGAAAATATATATGACTATATTACAAGTTCCTCAAAGATATAATGCTAGGTTATGCATAAAATATATAGTGGTAATATTAGATAGGAAATGCTAACATTACAAGTATATAAAACATAAATCCAAAGAAGGCCAAACTATGGAAATCATATGAATGTTTCGTAATATTTCCAACTCAGCAAGTTTCCTGACAGCAGAGCTGATTAGCAAAGTACAAGCGTATAATACACATACAAGAGTGATCATGTAGTAAAGTGTTTGGTATATATGGCAATGTTTAGACTAGACTATTATTGCAGCTTCTTTGTAACACTTGTACTCAAATCAACACACTTTCACACTCGCAGAAATGCAGACACACAAACACACACACATACAAGGTAAGTTCCTTCTGACTAGACACTACTAGGTACGAAATCTAAAGTCATCAATGCATCAAAATATGAAAAGTTCATTGTACAGTAAAACACCCTAGATGTGTCTATTGGCTGTACTGATATGAGCAAAGAGGCAAGGCTTTTCACAATTTTTAATCTCATACAAAATTCCTGAACCTTCAAAAGACTGTGAATCATTCAATAATTGAATATTAAGGCATATCAAATATTGTCATAGATACAAAATATTTGTTTGCAACAAACTCTGTCTGCCTCTATCAATTACAGGCACTGTAAAATTTACCGGCTACAAACACAGCTACGTGTTAAAATATAGAAATGTTAGAACATCTCTGCAGTTTTAAAACCCTCTCACCTTAATCCTAGGAGGTGGCCGAGCTTTTTTCTTTTTTCAAAAAAATCTTCTGCAGAGAATACTGAAGAATGTTCATCGATCACTCTCTGTCTGTTTGTCTGTAGCTCTCTCCCCTCCACATGCTATAATAGCTGCAAAAACCCTGACCTGCCCTAGTGGTATCCTAGTTCTTGTTTGGTTCTTTGGCTACCAGACAGTTAAGAGTCCTTCTCCACCTGAAGGTGCGAGTCGTCCTCTTCCTCCTCCTCCTCTTCTGTGTCCTCTGCGATCACCAAGCTCTCGTGATGGTCTGATGAGTCCTCCCGGTCCACATCCTCCTTGTCACCATCATCAGGTGCTGTGCCATCTCCCCCTTCACTTTCTAGGCCATTCAAACCTGTAAGGACTGTGCCATCCTCTCCGCCTTCCCCACTGTCTGTTCTAGCACTCTCTGCTCGTAACACGCCAGCTTCCTGGGCCTCAACCTCAGCTGGATGGTGCTTCCTGTAAAGAGAAGGCAACAATCTTATGAACAATTACTATCATCATGACATTTGCTTCCTGAATGATACTGAAAGAGGATAGAAACCACTTCTGAGAAAGATGAGAAAATTAATTGACTACTTATGTAGCCCAATTTATCACATCATGGATCTGATTAGAATTCTTGAATCACATGTTTCTATCTGAAGCACTCTCCAAACTTCATCAGTTTCTGGGCTCACTAACTATAAATTATATGCTTTAACAAGAAGTTTACTTGCTAATATTGAAGTCACCAACTGCAAAATATGTCCATTTTATTGATGAAATTTGCATCCTTTTATTCTTATTTTCCATATCTATCATCATGCAACCATGAAATTTAAAACCTAAAACAGGATAATGGTTAACCCAATACACACGGGGAAAAGTGTTCACTTTTGTATTGTTTTATTAAATGTCTCTGTACACAGATGGCTCTGCCAGTGCTTAGCCACGAAGGAAGACACTTGATTTCACCTTTCCTTGAGTTTGCAAGAAAAAGTTTTTTTTTTTTTCTTTTTACTAATGCTATCAACATTGATACTATTATCTTTATCATAAACATCCCAATTACTATAATGTATTGACATTACTAACAGTAGTATTAAATACCAGAAAATATTACAGAAAATCAAGGAAAAGGGTAAATAGGTGAGAAAGCATAGTTCTCGCAATTGGCTCATTGCTGATTTAGTACCTGTTGTGCCATCAATATGTAAAAAAATGACTAAATTAAATACACAGTGAACATGGCATATACACACATGCCATCCCCAACGGCATATGGTAAATGGAGTAAGTCAAGTACAGTCCTCTCTGACCCCTATGATCTGGATGACGGTACGGTTCTGTCATAGAAAAGATTTAGTTTTTAAAATTCCATTTGTTGCAATGGATATTCTTTGTTGTGACATACTGTCTGTTTTATTTTGCCCAAATCTCCCCATGTGCAAGGAATGGCCAGGGTTACCACTCACTAGCCGGGCGTGGGATTGAACGTAGGCCCGCAAGATTGCTAGACCAGCACCTTACCGCTGCGCCAGCACAGCACACAAAAATCTGGGTCGAGGGTTAGTCTACTCTTCTTCCCCATCGCCTAACCACGTGATTCCGCCTCGAAACAAGCGATAAACGTTTAGTCACCAGCGGAGTACTTGTTATGGAGGGACAATGATTTGTTTAGTGTTCGTTACAAATAATCATTTAGAAAATGTTGATAGATCAAAAATATTTTGAAATACAAATCTCTTATATCAAATCTCTTATATTCGTTTATCGTGCATGAATCTTGTGATGTACTAATACATATCAGATATTTATAGGCCGATTTTACGAGTTTAAACAAATAAATTATATTATACTCTTTCTTTATATTTATTTTTATCTCGTAAATCGATTTATAATGGCATAATGATGTTTAATCAATTAATTAGTTTCAAATGAAAGTGCATATGTAAAACTATTGCAATCAGAAAAGTCTAAAGCAGTGGCAATGCTTGGAGCTTTGTCGCGTGGGTCCCTGCGAGACGGCCTTGAACGCGCATGGGCCTCCAGTCCGTGTGAATATCTATTCATTGCGAGTTTATTTTTGGAGATACAGACTTGTAACTGCTCATGTATTATCACCGAACCCTAAACATTCTTTTATGATGAATTTGTCGACATCGAATCATATCTACTATATTTTTTAATTCCATTTGTTACAATGGATATTCTTTGCTGTGACATACCGTCTGTTTTATTTTGCCCAAATCACCCCGTGTGCAAGGAATGGCCGGGGTTACCACACACTTGTTCGGGCGTGGGATTGAACGTAGGTCTGCAAGATTGCTAGACCAGCACCTTACCACTGTGCCAGCACAGCACACAAAAATCTGGGTCGAGGGCCGGGTGTCATAAACATGCCGTCATCAGGCAAAATAGCTGCGGGACAGATGGCACGAACTTGCCGTCATGAGCGAAGGTCAGGGTGATGGAAAAGACTCTCTATGAGTGCACAAACCTCTTGGAGTGTGATTTGACTCATTTGGCGCTTTGATGGGGGGCTTTAGCATTATTCCCATCAATAAACGATTGTGGAATGAAACATGTGTAAGCCGTGACTGGAAGAGCTCCCGTTCCAGGGAGGACGCCATTTCCTTGCTGTGCACCATATTAGTGGCTGCTGTGACCAGCGGCGCAGGTTGTATTACAGAAAATTGAAAATTACAATAAAATGGGATATATGACACAAATAGCCAAATATTACATACTTTCTTTTTTTCTTGCACTGAGTTATCTGCTTCATAGAGAGATAATATGGAGTCTGTGTAAGGAAAATAAAGCTATCACTATCTGGATAAAGCAAATCAAGACAAATATGGACATTGGAAAATGGCAAAAATGCTTAAAAAGTTTAAACGAAATAACTTTGCAAAGGGGAGGCACAAAGTCTTGTCACCGCTCATGGGTGTTCGTGCACGCCTGGTCTACACACCGCATGCCCAGGATGTTGGCTACTTACATAACCCTATGTCCATATTTTTGGCATAGTGATTTCCGTGAAGCACACAGATCCAACGGGTTAATTGACACCTTGACATTTATACCAAAAAAATTGATTTCAATTACTTCAAATAGTTGCCCCTCAATGATATGTTTCCTATTGTTAATCAGTTCGTAATTGTCTATAACAATCTACTGGTAAACTAACTGAAAAAACAATATACAAAAATAAAAGTTAATCAAAAAAGAAAAACTATGAGTAAATCAATATTATGAGCAATGGCCAGGGTGATGGAAAGTGTAAAAACCTATTGGAGGGTAATTACACTCATTTGGCATTTAGAAGGGGGCTTTTTTGCTTTTTCTCTCTCTCTCTCTTCTTTCTTTCTCTCCTCTCTCTCTTTCTCTTCTCTCTCTCTCTCTCTCTCTCTCTTCTCTCTCTCTTCTTTCTCTCTTCTTTCTTCCTCTCTTCCTCTTCTTTTCTCTCTCTCTCTTCTCTTCTCTTCTCTCTTTCTCTTCTCTCCTCTCTCTCTCTTCTCTTCTCTTCTTCTCTCTTCTCTTCTCTTCTCTTCTCTTCTCTTTCTCTCCTCTCTCTTCTTGACTCTTTCTCTCCCTCCTCCTCTCTCTCCTCTGGAGGGGCGGGGGGGGGGGGGGGAGAGAGAGAGAGAGAGAGAGAGAGAGAGAGAGAGAGAGAGAGAGAGAGAGAGAGAGAGAGAGAGAGAGAGAGAGAGAGAGAGAGAGAGAGAGAGAGAGAGAGAGAGAGAGAGAGAGCGAGCGAGCGCGCCTAATACCCAGATTTGGGGCCATGCGTGGTTAGTGAGACACCAAGATCCAATGGGTTAAAATAATTCATTCTCAACAAGTACACTATCCTTTTGTTCCAAATTACTCACCGTGTGTGGGTCTTCAAGTTGTCTTTGCGTCCAAATGCTGCAGAACACCAAGGACAAGGGAAGCGCCGAGGGTTGAGATGTTGTTTCATGTGCCGACGGAAATTGGCAATGTGCTTGATGGTTGCGCCACACAGCTGACATGTCAAGCTCTGGAAACATTATCAAAATTACAGATCTAGCTGCAGATGTAAGAATTTCTCAAGGATGCGATTAGTGGATATCATTGCTGTTTTGTTGGTGTTAGTATTATCACATTTTTGTAGTAGCAACAGAAGCATCAATGGTGGTGTATTTGTATTACATATTTCACAACAATACTAAATAAAGATTAATATAAACATTAAAAACTCAGAAAAAATTATATTTCTTTCATTGAAAAATAAAGAAAATTCTGAAAAGGAGGATGTAAAGCAGAAAGAATTTGAAAGAGCAGAATAATAGTAAATAAATTTTTAAAACCAGATAATATGATGATGATAAAAGAAAAGATATGGAAATGTGTGATAACCATTACACTATAATTCTAAAAACTAAAATTAGCAGAAAACCTGTATGTACACAAGAACTTGCATCCAACTTTTCATTTGTCTGTTAATTACTTCAAATGTCTTACTTCTCTGATTCATAAAATGATAATAATTACAACTGAAATGATATTCAATTCACATTCAATTATACATACCAAATATTTAGAATAGCTATGCATAAAACAAACCCTACCATGACTGGGCCAGAATTTGTTGTGACGTAATTATTTTGCAAGAAGTCTAGTCTTTCTGGCAGGGTTTATGCTTCATAGAACTGGCCTGCTCACTCATGAGCAAGTTATGATTCGTATACACGTAAAACATGATTAGGTCACGATGGCTATGGCTACACCCATCACTAAGGAGTTAATTATTCATTTGTCTTTACAGCAGATAAACAAATTTAGTAGACAAACCATCACCCATTTTCAAATACTTCACATTATATTTTAGATGGCCTTCAAAACTATGCAGTCAAAATATCACAAATAATAAGATTTATTCCCCCTATTTTCTGTAGCACCCAATACTCAACTTTTATTCTAATTTTAGATTTTGCATCAATTAAGCTACTTGTCTTTTAAGGATTCCTTAATTCAGGCATGAACTGCTGAGCAGAACTCAACTTTCAACCTCAGTTTTTAAACAAATTTAACAATCTTTAACCCCACCCTCAAACTGCAGGCAGAAAAGAAAAAAAAAAAAAAAAAGAAAAAAGAAAAAAAGAAAGAAAGAAAGAAAGAAAAAAAGCCCTAGTTACTCTTATTCCATACTAACTGTATCACACCCCACCGGTCAACAGTTAAAATTTAGGTATTTTGAGGTACTTCAGAAATTGTAGAAAAACACAGGCACGCACACATACATATCTAATATATACTGAAAATTGACTGGACTTATCACCCATACACATATTCACAAATACTACTCACCCGTGATTCCCTCCCAGTGGGGGATGGGACCTGCTGCTGCTCTTGGACAGTCGTTGGGATCAGGGGAGAGAACGAGCGGTCATCATTCCCTAAGCTGAGCATGTGGCGATAGCTAGCAAAGATGGGGTTTGTCAGATCCCCAATGGATCCTGCAATGTCTGTTGTGGTATCATAAAGGGGCAGTGGAGAGGGTTCAGGACAGGTGTCGGTGTCTGTGATGTTGTCCGTGTCCGGCTCGGTCTTGACATTCTCCTTGGCAACCTGCTGTTCAGAAAAAAGTAAAAATGAAAAATAAGAAGAAATACATGTGACCTCATAAACTCCAATGAGATTGGCTTGATTATCCTTCTTGTAGCAAACACCTTTGATTCTATTCAGCACTAACTTATATAGATTCTTTCCAGAGTCAAGCTTTACTAATAGCCAGATTTTGTGGTGGTGTAATATTTACAGTGTTGATAAGAATACCTTTACCATTTCTGCTAACTGTTCTAACCCCTTAATGGTTTATATATGAAAGACTTCATATTTCTACATTTGAAGATTCAAGCTCAAATGCACAGGATGTTACCAACATGAATGGGTGAAATCCGTTTGGAATTAGAAATATAAGCCTACAACTAATATGAACATCAACAAATATAAAACAGACTTTCAGCTAAAAAATTGAGAACAGGAAATATGTAAAATTAATATAAATAAATACAAAAATAAAAGTAAAAGATGAATTCTAAATACAAACAATAATTACAAATTCAACTGAAAAAGAAAATCTCATTTACACTATCATTATAATTTCTAATTATACTAGAGTACTATCTAATAACTGTAATAATATTTTCTTTTTATGACAGATATTAAATTTACAACAGGAAAAGAGAAATAAAAAGAATAAAAACAATAACAAAGAAAAGCCATAATTCCGGACTTCATAAAAAACACAGTATACCAAAGCACAAATAAAACCAAAGCAAAAACTGGTGATTGGGAGGGAAAAATTACAGAAATTAGACCTGTCAACAAGATAAGATAAGAGTAAACCCCGAGAGTTTATGATCCACAGATAATATACGAAATAAACGCTGCACGATCACTCAATTCGGCAATCTCTTTTTTTCTTTTTTCTTTCCTTCTTTTTCTTTTTTTTCCCACTAAAGATGGTTGTATTTACTTCTGGACTCAGATACCAAGACATTGTAAGGAATGTGAACAAAAACTTGAACACACATCAAATTTACCAGTAAATATGGACATAACATAAAGTGTGCAAGCAAATGAGGAAAACGGGGTAACATGCAACAAAAGGATAAATCACAAATGTGTGGCACAAGCAAGAAAATAGGCAAAGAACAGCAAAAGCAAAACTTGTCTGTTCCTCCTACAATCATGATACTTTGACTCAATTGGTAATCAGCGACTAATACTGAAAGCTTTATAACTCCATTACATTTCAAGGTCACTGATATCATGGTGCCTTTCAGCTTACCTCATGATCTGGATAACTTGGTTCTGGCTTTAAAGTACTTTCAAAATGAATTGAAGAATTACTATTTTTTCCTATGGATTACTGAGATTTCTGTGGGACTGGATTTACCCTTCAAAGCATATCTCTTTTTTTTCTTTTAAAACTAGTAAGTCCTAAGCTTCTTTTTTAAATGGCTGACAGGTCATGGGAGTCCTCTTTTAACCCGTTGATGTTGGGAGGCCCAGTACACATGCACTGCCTGTTGCAATTTTAATTTCTTAATTTTACTGGCATGTAGACGGTTCCAAGGAGTCATCAAGGAATTAATTACTTGGCATACCTGTTCTCATTCATTTGTCATATTCCTTGAATTTTTGCTTTTTTTCTGCTTTATCACTATTAGCATCATTATAACATAATAATAATAATAATTATAATGTCCATAAAAATAATATCATTAATAGTACTATTTGACTTTATTTCCCAAACATTCAAAGGATAGGGCAACCAGGTGAGGTCAAGCAGGCCTCTAAACCAGCTCAGAGGTGACATTTGCAAAGTCAACAAACAAATCTACAGTGCATGTATCTGGCATCAATAGGTTAATTACCCATTGGGAAAAATTCTGTCAGGGCTGTATAAACATAGGTGATATCACATGGACTAGGCCAATTAAGATTAAATGCAAATATTTTGGTTAATAGGCTATTTCTTCATTATATCTTTCCCGGATATATTATCCAAACATATAAAAAGGTAAACTCTATTTGAAAAAAAAAAGGAAAGAATAAAAAAAAACTTACTTTTCCCTCCTTTTCTGTGTCTGCATTGACGTTCAACATGGCATTTATCAATCCTCCTTTGCCTCTCTTGCTTTCTTGGGGCTCGTGGTTCTTTCTCCGGGAGGAGCCGCGGCTGCCCTCCTTGGCATTGTCAGTCGATTCCTTTTTGCTTGATGATACTTTGGTAGGGGTGGAAGTGAAAAGGGTTCGAGGGATTGCGATGGACTGAGCGACTGTGTGAGCAACAGACTGAGCAAGTGATTGAGCGGCGGTGACAGACTCCAGGCCCTCGAGGCAAGATCTTAGTTTGGACTCGGAGAGGGATGGGTCCCATGCAGGGTTTGGGGTTTGGTCGCTATCTAGTTCCTGCTCGGGGAGATCTGGACACCCAGAGTCCATGAGCTGTGCAAATCCATCACTACTCTTGTTATTGCTGGACTTGTTCAGGGCATGGCCGTAGCTGTTGGCGGGAGAGAGCAAGGAGGCAAAGTTTGGCTCCAGGCCCTTTGATTCTCCGTTGTTATTAGAAAGACGTGGTACCTTTTTGGGTCGGGGGTTATTGTTTTGGGACACAGGGGAGGCTGGAGAGAAAGGTGTTCCAGCTCTCTTCTCCCCAGCCTGGGGTTGCTGATCACGCTGGGAAACATCTCCAAGACCTTTGATGCGCAGGCTCTCTGCTATTTTGATGAGGCCTGTAAGCTCACTGTTGGCAACACTCACCTGTGGGATTGCAATAAAGGACCCTTGTCAGTACTGTGCTACTATATGTATAAAGAAGAAGAAGAAGGAGAAGAAAAAAAAAAAAATCAATTTCTCATCTATTAAACCCAGTTTTTGGAACTAGGCTCAGGCCTAAATGATCACCCTTCTGCATAAGCCTAAGAATATCATCTAGGGGATCTGAAGCATTCTTTACTAGACCCTGTTTAACCCCTTACCGCTGGATGGCATGTACATATATGCCATGGCTGTTGTGGATAGAGTAGCAAGTGGCATCTCTTCTATTGTGAGAATATTCATTCTCATCCATATCTCTCTACATACATACATTAATGAAAAAGTCAGGTAAAATGCCTGCCAGTTTCTCACAGGTTTTCTACAATTGTAGTGAATAGTAAAGGAAACATATGTAGAAACAAAGATTGAGGACTAATACTCTCATTCTTCAACATTGAATTTTGGAGGATATTTAGAGAGAGAGAACTGTCATAAAGCAAAAAAAACTCTCCTTTCTATATTACTGAATTTTAGATGTGATAAGATATCTAAAAGTATGTGTTAATTTCTATAACATGCAGACAGGTTGAACAGTTTACATAAACATGGGCTTTAGTTTCCAGAGCGTGAGAGAAGAAAATATATATACATATACATGCATTTCCTCATATACAAATACTTGCCAAAATAAAATGAACCATAACTATCTTTTTATTTTTTCTTATCAAGTTTGAAATTTTATTGATTTTCTAATAGCACAACCAGATTTCTCAACAGGCAAATAATATGATGACTTAGAGTATGTATATATAAGTAAGACCTATAAGAATTAAAAAAAATACTGGGGGGGGGGGGTCCTCCTTCACATTATTTGGCCATTCAAAAAACTTGGTCTAAAAAAAGACAGAATTTGTATATACCCATAAAAAAAGTTATAACTTGGTCACCAAGAATAAGAAAGTGAACTTCCTCTCTTTAAATCTACTAAAACCTCTTGTAAAATACGCCATATACATAACTGGCAATTCCCTGTTAATCTTAACCATAAGTCTTTTTGCTCAACTCCATACACAAAAATAAATCCCACGCTACTACAAAACAGTACATCAGGAAAAACAAGGGACTCGGAAAACACCAAGAAGAAACCAAACTGACCTCCCCACGGTAGATAAACTCCAGCAGGGCTTCAAGCTCTGCCTGCTTCACATCTCTGAGGTAGATGAGAGGATGTTGGGTGGGTAATCGTGTGAAGAGCTGGTGAAAGTACGGTGAACAAGCTGCCAAAACAAGGCGGTGGGCTGGGTAGCTGCCACCATCACAGAGCAAAGTCACATCAACAAGCTGGTCCTGTTGGAAATATAAAGTATTTTTATTATCCTTCTCACACAAAAAAAATAATGCAAAAGATAGAGAAAATGTTTACAAAGTCAGTGTAAAAGATACCCAAAGTTTGTATCTATATTTACAACTTATTTGGATTTTTTTTCTTGATTTCAACTTTATGAACAAAAAATACAAAAGTGGCAAAAATGGAAAGAACTGTGGTTGGGAAGGAGAGGACTTATGCTTTAACAAACAGTACTGAATAAGGAATTACAACATGTTTCATTACCCGTAATTCATTAGGGTAGATTTACATTATTCTCCCAGTGGCCATGGCAGCCCCGTTTGCTCAAACTGTAGTCTGTCATGGGATCTTAACCCTCTTTCCCTCCATATTCAAGGTGTGTTAGGTCTTATTAAATTTTCTCTAATTCTATAACAGTATCTGGGACAAGTCATGGGTGGGGGGAGGGACTGCTCTACATTTTGGTCCACAATCTACCATGAATAAAAGCACGTTCCCTCCAAACCCGTCACATTCTAATTGGGTCTGTCACATTTTTCTCATTCTCTCTCCAAAAACTCACGCACCGGGTCAGACCACGGTAGAATGCAATGCACCTTACTGCACCATGACAGGTCCCATTGGGAATAAACAGGATGTAATAGATACCATACACACTAGCTTGTCATGAGAACCATTACAAAATTTGGCAAAACTTGACAAAGTGCACATTAAATGCCACAGAATGTAACATTTACCCGCAACAATGGACGAGATAAACATGAAAGATAAATGTCTGAGATTTTCAAAGTTTTCCCAATAATCTTTACTAGTTTCAAATTGTCATTAGTAAATTCCCTTTCAGATCAATGATCTACAAAGGATAAAAAAGCAGTAACATAATTCATAACATGCTAACAGATTATATGGATTTCTATGATAAAATAGTCCAAAATAAATATTTTCAAATATATGAACATACTTTTCACTAAACCACCATAATCCATATGCTTGTACTAAAACTGATGATTATTCAAATTTATCTATATAAGTTACATTATATAACCCTGTATTAATGCTATGATGATGGGGTATGATTTATTTGTGATGTTAAATTATGCAACAGTCTAGACTTTGTGGCTAAGCCCTAGCTGTGTGCAGTCAGCTCACCCGCTGCATGTTGTGATGCATATAAATGTCATAGGCCGTTATCTCATGATGGCTATAGCTGTACTTGCAACTGATGGGTTAAATCATCTAATTTTAGAAAGTGCAAGTTTTTCTGCATAAGATAGACTTTTTCTGAATACAATTTAATCTTAAACACAATACATATAAGAAAATGATCATTGTTGTTGTTCTTTCTACTGTAATGAACATACCTGCACACGCAACTGTGTGAAGACCTCGGCAAAATTGGAGCGGTGGTTATTCCACGTTAATAAGAATTGGTCCGCCCCCATGACTAGATCTGCAAAAGATATGTCTACAATCAGTGAGGATATTAAAATAAAGACATAAATGGACTTTGGGAAAGGTTTTGTATATAGAAAAAAGAAGGAAAAAGGGGATATTCACTCACAGAGATTAAAATATGGCAATTATTGCTCTCAGGCATGTGTGCATAATGGATGAAACATGGCAAAGCAAAAGGTGGAAAATACAAAAACATGATTAAAATTCAAAGTAGAATGATTTGCCAAGAAAATAGTTTTTAAAATGACAAAAATAATCAGATGAATAAATTTTCCTTAATCTGATCTTAACCCACTTGTACCAGGTGTATCACAAAAAATAAATAAATAAATAAATAATAAATAAATAATAAATAAATATATAAATTATAATGGTAAAATTAAATTAAATATCCCACTCGTCATGTACTGGCCTGCGTTTTTGAAGCCGCCCGGAATCTATTATTTTCAGCTTGAAAATGTACCGGTGCTAGTGGGTTAACCCATCAGCGACGGGTAAAAATTTACGTATGCACCGGCTTGTTAGCGCGCACCGGCAGTTTCCCCTGTTTGCACCTGGCTCGATCAGTAGTTTGCGAGCGACATAAAAGCTTTTATTTTGCTAAAATTTATAGAAATATTAAAATTTTGAAGGTTTACCTTCACTTTAGGTGCCATTGCCTAAAATCTTTACCATATAAATGAAGCCGCTATTAGTGGAGAAAAACAACCTCCGTCCGACAAGCCAGTAGCACGGGAAAGGGCATGGCATGATGCCCCCAGCGTTTGGTCCACAACAGCCATGGCATGTACGTACATGACACCCGGCGCCAATGGGTTAAGATCACCATAAGGAGTAACCTACCAAGGAAAGTGTTACCAAGTAGCGCCACTTCTATTTAGCCTACTGAACCCAAAAATTAAACTGATTTCTTCCCTAGAATATTCTGATGGTTATTAATGGTAAGGAATTCTTCGATATTGTAAATAAAAGAGAGGAATTTTGGTTTTACTTCTGATCATTATAACAACAGCAAGTAAATCATACAAATAATTATGTATCTACCTATATCTGCTATCTCACATTGGCTAAACATGGTGACATTAACCCTTGACCACAACAATTTGTGTGACACTTTATGGTATTTTTCAGTGCATTTTCTTTGAAAATGTTTCATTAATGACAAAGGCAAAAGCATTATCAAAGAAGAAGCCCCCCCCCCTCAAAAAAAAAAAAAAAAAAAAAAAAAAAAAAAAAAAAAAAAAAAAAACATGGTACAGCATCTATTATCAGCAGACCCTGAGGTAAAAGAAGAAATTGGTAAAATCCCACCGCAAATAATTAGCCAACCCACTGTTTCCCACAATGGCATGCATGTGTATAACATGGCTCCTGTGAGTTTAGTTTATTAACTGTCTTTAAACACAGATGGATCGACAAGTGCTTAGTCATCAAGAAGTCAATCACTAGTCCGAACTATCTTGTTAGTTTACCCTTTTCCTTGATTTCTTGAGATATTTGTTAGTTTTCTTTTACACTCTTCATATAATTCTTGACATTTTAATGATTAAGTCATTAATAATAATAACAGCATTCATATTAACATTATTCATTATCATTCTTTAGAAAAAAAAAAATAATAATATAAACTAAAGGAAGGGGAGATCATATGCCTACTAATTGACTCCTTAGTGGCCATCAATGTGCAAACACAATTCACAAAACAAAGCTGCAGTGAATGATATGTGTTGAAATGCTAGTACCACTTTCTCCATCCAACAGGCTAAGGTGACCCATATGGGAGGGAGGGCACAAATTGTACATGTGCATTTAGTGAATCTTACAACCACATGGCACAGTGTGTCTATAAAAATCACAATAGTCTGAATATTTTTGGTGCTGTGGTAAAAGCCAACAAACCACCATTGCATTTATTCTGGTTACGTGTTGAAAATAAATTTTCAAGGGGCACCATCAACATACATGCAATACTGCAATCAATACAGCTTCATGTGGCACTGTTTCTTCCTGCTACAATCATGAGGAAATGGCGGCAATATAATCATTTGGTACAATAAGTGGAATAAATGTATTTGTCTGTTGATCTATGGACCATTTACATTGTTTATAGATGAACTGAACATGCTGGTTTAGGTTTGTTAATGGTTAAATCTATTACAATATTGATATACACAAATTGAACTGAAAATATATCATCTCTGGTGTGTCAAAACTGGCCTTGTTATCTGTCTAGAACTCGGTGGTGGAAATGAAACTGAAAAGAGCTTCATTTTGAGTGGATGGATAAACTTGTGATAATGGACTGAAACTTAGTTAACTGCATTCATAATTTTTATAAGCAATGGATAAGGAACACAAAATTTCTAATTCAAAGAATACAAATAATCATAATGAATATTCCATTTGCAGAAGAAGACCCATAATTCATAGAGACAAACACACTGTGATTATGAATTCTCCTAACATTTCTATTTCATGAAGAAATGCTATAACTTTCAGAAAATTCAGGTTAACAATCCCATATCCATACCTCTGAAAACCGAATATCTTTAGCGTTGAGTTTATGTGCAAAAAGCCTACCTACTAGACTTACTTATGGTCTTTAACCCCTTATACCCCGATGACATTGCGGTCACGTCAAGGAAAAACTTGGGTAGCTGCCCGGGTAACGTGAATATACCGCCAATTGGGCAAATGGACCTCTGCCCGGGTGACGTGAACAAACCATCAAGATCCAAGGCCAGGGTGATGGAAAAGACTCACCACGAGTGCATAGACCTCTTGGAGTGTGATTTGACTCATTAGGCACCTGGAAGGGGGCTTTAGCATTATTCCCATCGATAGACGAATGTGGAGTGTAACGTGCATAAGCAGTGACTGGAAGAGCGCTAGCTCCAGGGAGGATGTCATTTCCATGCTGCGCACCGTATTCCTGGCCGCTGTGACTGGCGGCACAAGTTGTATTACTTAAATTTGAGAAATACAAAAAAATGAGATATATGACACAAATAACCAAATGCTCCATATATTTTTTTCTTACTATTTAGTACATAGAAAGATGATATGGAACCTGAGCAAGGAAATTAAGTAATTACCATCTGGATAAATGGAGATAAAGCTAAAAAAGTTTACACAAAATCACTTTTCAAAAGTGAGGCACAGAGTCTCGTCACTGCTCATGGGTGTTTATGCACACCCGACCTACATGCCGCACGCTCGGGATGTTGGCCACTTATGTAAATCATTGCCCGTGGTTTTCAGCTTCGTGATTTCCGTCATGCAACCGGATCCAAGGGGTTAACATCCCTCTATCTTATTTATCAGTATATTACTCTATATATAGTGTAAAAATGTTTGAACTCTTTTTTCTACCCTTCATAATTTGAGCATTCATACATTTTTACTGCAATATTATTTGAATTTCTGAAAACCAAAAAAATTAATAATGCAAGCACAACCAGCTCAAAGGGTTTTGGATAGGGGATTGTGTCCCTGCAACAATAAATGAAGTAGGAAGACATCAAGTGACATGTACAATCATACAGCACCTATGAGTCACTTGTGTGCTAGGAAAATCTGGAATCTTAATCACTTTCGGCACCAGACAGACTCCAACTTCCAAACACCACCAGAAGATTTCGGCCACAAAGGAAAAATACTCTAAAATATTCTACTAAATGTTTTAGTGTTCACATTAAGAATATACTAGGAAGCCATGTCTTCAAGGAAAACTATTACAATAAAGTAAATGAAGATTACTAAGAGAAAAAAAAGAGAAAAGTTGAAAAAGAGAAAAAGAGTAAGAGAGAGAAAATAGAGAGAGAGAGAGAGAGAGAGAGAGAGGAGAGAGAGAGAGAGAGAGAGAGAGAGAGAGAGAGAGAGAGAGAGAGAGAGAGAGAGAGAGAGAGAGAGAGAGAGAGAGAGAAGAGAAAAGAGAGAGAGAGAAAAGAGAGAAGAGAGAAAAGGATAAAGAGAATGAGAGAGGTTAAAGAGAAGGGAGAAGAGGAGAAAGGAGAGAAGAGAGAAGAGAGAGGGGAGAGAAGAGAGAGGGGAGAGAAAAGAGAGGGGAGAGGGGAGAGAAGAGAGAGGAGAGAGGAAAGAGAAAGACTGAGAAAGAAAAAAATTGTTCTTATCCAAACGCAGCAATTATATAATACAAAAATAAGTGAAGTGAATATATTGCAACATATGTAACATAATGTTTTATGAATGAGAGAGAGAGAGAGAGAGAGAGAGAGAGAGAGAGAGAGAGAGAGAGAGAGAGAGAGAGAGAGAGAGAGAGAGAGAGAGAGAGAGAGAGAGAGAGAGAGAGAGAGAGAGAGAGAGAGAGAGAGATTGCCGGCCAAACCGTGAGAGTGAAAGAGAAAGTGAGAGAGAAAGTGAGAGTAAGAGAAAAAGTGAAAATGCAAGTGCAAGTGCAAGTGACAGTGAGAGTGAGAGTGAAAGCGAGAGAGAGAGAGAGAGAGAGAGAGAGAGAGAGAGAGAGAGAGAGAGAGAGAGAGAGAGAGAGAGAGAGAGAGAGAAGAGAGAGAGAGAGAGAGAGAGAGAGAGAGAGAGAGAGAGAGAGAGAGAGAGAGAGAGAGGGAGAGAGGAGAGGGAAAGAGAGAGGGAAAGAGAGGGAAAGAGAGAGGGGAAAGAGAGAGGGAAAAAAGGAGAAAGAGAGGGAAAGAGAGAGAGAGAGAGGGAAAGAGAGAGAGAGAGAGGAAAGAGAGAGAGAGAGAGAGGGGGAGAGAGGGAGGGAGAGAGAGGGAGAGAGAGGAGAGAGAGAGAGAGAATGAAGAGAGAGAGGGAGAGAGAGGGTAGAAAGAGAGAGAGGGAGAGAAGAGAGAGAGAGAGAGAGAGAGAGAGAGAGAGAGAGAGAGAGAGAGAGAGAGAGAGAGAGAGAGAGAGAGAGAGAGAGAGAGAGAGAGAGAGAGAGAGAAGTATCTTCCTCCAAGCAAAACAAGCTGTTGTGTATTACTTTAAGTAAAGTGAATATATTGAAACACAAATAATATAACTGAACATGACAGTAATAAGCAAAAAAATGAAATATAGGTTTTCTAGAGGCTAACATTTTCTACAAGTAACCAATTTGATACCATAATGTATCCAAAGTCTTAATATAGTAAAATAAGGGTAGATTTTAGATACAGTATTTTAAAGGGAGGTAAAAGTTTGGTTTTAACTATAAAATTCTCTATTATATGATTTTGTTCATGTCTCTCCACTTCGCATAATGACAAAGACCAACAAACCTCTACCATATATATTCTGGCAAGACAGCACTTGGATAGGTCTCTCATCTGACCATAAAGCTCTATCTTGCCTTAATATACTACGTAAAGGTTCGTAGTCCTTTACTGCAGCTATCATCTGAGTCAGTTTCACTTACGAAGCTTTATTCATAGGAGTGTGCATGTTATTTGGGTACTCTTATAATAATTATAAAGGCTTATATTTCTATATCTTTGTACTGTACTACTCTGAAGAATCACCAAATAAAAAAGTAAATCATGCTTTGTTTGTGATTACATAGTCATGACTATAAATTACTATCTAACTATATATCAAAACTAAAAGCAAATCTGCAACATTACAAATATAAAGCCTTTCGGACAGGTTACTCATATTAAAAAATCAATTGCTCTTTTCATATTCATGAAAACATTATACAACATGCATATTTTGCAATACTTCAAATGCACTGCCTATTCACAACACTCCATTTTCCCCATAAAAGAACAGTTAAACCTTACCCCCCAGCCCTGCACAAAAATCATTAGTCATTTATCTGATATCGTGCATGCCAAACGTAATATTCTGTTGTAAAATGATCTCATATAAACAACAATTCATAAAACTGCAGCAAAACAAAGCCTTGCAGCGATTTAAAATCCTTTACCCAAACAAATGCGAGTAAAAACACACACCAACGCACGAAGTACCTTTTCCACGCCTGGAATCAGTTTATTATAGTAAAACCACCAATGGCTTTCCCCTCCTAACCTTCCTTTTATTCCCCATTTGCTCTATCGACCTAAACCTATCTACTAAAAGATCCAGATATTAGGGAAAAAACGAAAAATATACTGAACACTTGCGTTGTTTTGGTGGTATTTTCAGGGTCTAGCAGAAGCCACAGATCCCCGGGAGTGAATTGTCTCGTTTTTTCCCTATTTCCCGGCCTCTCTTAGTACTTAAAGCTTCCCACATACAGCGCACGTCCATATTCCGTCCACCTACCGTTCATTGACGAGAAAATTGGGAGTAATAAAGTATATATTATTCACATTTTTGGTTTTAGATTTTCTCGACCACAAGTTTTGTTGTGGTTTTTGTGGCTATAAGTGTAAGAGGATGAGTTTCTGACGCTCTACGAGGAGGCAAAAGCAAAGCGATTCGGTGGATAAAGAAGGTTTCGATTGGAACTATAAAAGATTGAATACTCTCTCTCCGGCCGAGCGAGTAAGGATCGAGGCTGTTGTGGTGTTTATACAGTGAGGTTGAGGGAAGTGGTGGAAGACGGGACAATCGCCTCCAAATGTTTTTCCGAAATTCTGGGCAACTTCGACTCGGATCTTAGATACAGTAAGTGGACTTAGTAATGAGAGTTCGGGCGGCGGCGTGGTGGGTGCGGTAGGCGGCGGGGGGCGAAGGTGAGGAGAGGGTGTGGAAGAGGGTGAGGTTGGTGTGGATAGAGAGAGAGAGAGAGAGTTGCGGGCGGCGGGCGGCGGTGGTGGGTGCTGCGTGGCGCCCGCATTCCGCGCACGGTGAGGGTCCGCCCCGCCCCACTCCCCCAACCCCGCCCGCCTCTCCCCTGCCCGCCCCGCCCACGCCGCCCTTTGTTGCCTCTCACACGGGCGGCGTCACCAGCACCCGCCACACCTGCCGCCCACACCGCCACGCCGCGCCCAGGTGAGTGCCAGGTGAGATCAGGCACCTCCAAGGGGGTGGGGGTATGGGTGTGTGTTATTGTTGTTGTTATTATTTTTTTTTAAGGTGTTATTTGGCCAGGTGAGCATGGAATGTGAAGTTTTGGGGTCCATGTCCAGGTGAGGTTATGGAAGGGGTTTCCCATGCCCAGGTGTGGATTTATTAGCAGGGAGGATGGTAGGGGATGTCTGATGCTAGGGGATGTTTACAGCCAGTTGTTTGGAATGGCAGGGGATGTTGTCATCTTCAGACAGTGTTTTATTTTGGTGCTGTGGAATTTGTGAAGTATTGGTTATGAAAGCGGATGATAGGAAGGAATTTTCCCACAGTCATTGATAGCCAAGATCAGTTTCGTATATGGATGTCTACTTCTGACAAAATCTAAATGTTCTGTGCATAGGATGTCTGAGAAGTTGATGATGCAACAACATAAAAAGTGAGCATTGTCTTTCAATAATATCTGCAGTGTTTGCATCCGCAGAGAAAGTTCATTGAAACTTCAGGCCAGTCATTGTATTGAATGATGTTGCTTGACACTCATTTTGTAACCTGCCTAGATATGCTTATCTCCATAAAACTTATAATCAGAATGATATCTATCTCTTTAGATATGATAGGAGAGATAATGATATCAATATTATGTTTAAACTTGTTCTTCCAACTTTCTCTCATTTGATGAAAAAAAATCCAAAGAAAACCTTTATTTATTTATCTCACTTTAAGATAAGTATTAGGTAATATTTCCTCCTGAAGATGTATTTTTCTATTTCATGTATGTCAGTTAGTTAATGCTGTTTTTGGTAATCATTTTACAAGCTGTATTATGAATGGAGAAATGATAAAGTTCATTATCATCAACAGAAGTGGTCAATAGCAAAGTTAATATTATGGTTAGATCTTATTACTGTGAAAGAAAATTTCAAAATTGCAGAGTTTTAA